CTAAAACCCCAACATCCCTGTTGTCTTTAACTTTGGGATGAAGGTATGCCAGAAACACGGCCCGTGTCTGATACTGAACACAGACCAGTTCTTGTTGGTCCGAAAGATGACCAGTTTCAGGATTTACACTAATGGCCATGGAAGAATTGCTCTGCGCAGAGGAAATGCTTATACATTCCAAGAAAACAGAGACATGTAAACAAAGACCAAAAACAAACAAAAAGCCAAAAACCGAAGCCAAACCACACCAAATAACAGTGTGCCTCCTAAAGATGGCAGCTACCAAAAGGTGTGACTGTTTGACAAACAACTTTGTTGAGGAATACAATGAACGGCACATATTTAAAAGGTATAATTAGATAAATTTTGACATATGTCAGCAGCTGCAAAATCATCACCACAACCAAGAAATAGTTAATTGAACACAGGAACACTATTTCTATCATGAAAGTGATAACGTAGTATATACCCACAGTACATATACTGCAGTATGTAATGTAAGTAAAATAGCACACGGTATTAAATCAACTGTTGAGATTATATAAAATGGCATAAAGATAATTTATTCTGACAAATGTTCATAAAGACTTTTAAAAAAACCACAATGACTTCAGACAATTAAAGCAAGGAGGGTAAAACTTAAATAATGGCTCATCGGTTTAAATATTCTAACATATCTCTTTTTTTCTGAAGAAAAAGTGGCACAAAACGAACTTATCAGATGTGGAAAGAAAAATAAACACGCGCCGGGTCGGAGAGCACTTCAGCTGCAATTTGTTCACTAGCATGAACTTACAAGGAAGGGATCCTTAATCTCCCCCTCACTCCATTAGAGCCGTTCCTACGACCAGCTGATACAAATGCAAGTTAAAAACCTGCACCAAGCATCAGAAACGTGACGAATTTAACCAACTGGAGGAGCAGGTATACCTGAGACCTTTTTCTTCTATAAAACTTGTGTGCACTCAACTCTGCCACGTGTAAACTAAACTCAGACCACAGTCCTTAAACGCACGTCAAACCTGCACACGGTGCCGCTGATAAATTGTTAAAAATCCTACAAGCCGGCGGGTCGGAAGGCGCCCTCCTCCCCGCGCCCTGCGGTCTCACCTCCTGCTC